TTTTTTTTTTTTTTTTCGGTTCAGCTCCCATGACTTGAATTTAGAGAATAACAGAAAAAAAAACTTATTGAAATTATTAAATAATTTGCTAAGTTGACTTCAGACATGGATTTTGATTACCTGACTTTCCAGGTTTGTGGAGTTGTATCTTAAACCAGTTCATTCAATGTGCAGTGTTCTTCACATTTAATGCTCCATTTTTAACACCAGCATCAGGGATCCTTTAGTGAGTTAGTGATATATTATGATAAAATTGGAGAAATATTCCATATTTATTTTGTGGCTAAAGAGGAGTAATGTCATCATCACATCTTTATTGTTCTTACTCAAAAATTGAATTGGTATTTTTTCATCGTTGTTATTGTTTAGTTCTGTAAATGATTTTGCAGCAATTTTGTTTTTCTTGAGCCTTCATTTTCATAATCTGTGACCAGGCTCTCAATATTAGTGCAGCAAGATGCTGGTTTGTCCCCTAACAGAAAGAATTGAGACAATTTGGTGAGTTTTGCCAGGGCCTCTCACTGGTTTGCATTGCTTAAGGCCTTTTATTTCTGTAGATGAAGGGGAGCAGGGATGGTGCAGTGGTGAGAGTGCTTGCCTCCTGCCACTGTGGCCAGGGTTCAATTCCCTGACCTGCGTGCGTCATATGTGGGCTGAGGTGGTTGTTGGTTCTCGCCCTTGCTCCAGGGGTTTTTCTCTGGGTCCTCCAGTTTTCCTCCCTCTGCAAAAACCAACATTCCTAATTCCAATTCATCCAGGAAATAGTGGACAAGGAGAGCCACCCAGTGGAATGTCTATTGCCAAATTTCCCATTATTTTTCCATTTTTCCCCATTTCCCATTTTTCCCCATTTCCCATTAGATGAAGCAACACTCATGCTGAAGCACTAATAATGAGAGCCTTCTCATGGGTCATTTTTATTCCTCTGCTGCACATTTGCTCTACAATCCTCTTTGGTTAAGATTATTTATTGATTATTCATAAATTTAGGTCATCTGTCTTACTTTAGGTTGAATGAAAAATGTGAAAGAAAATGTAGTAGACAGTTGTTGCTAAATTGCTCCCACTTGTTTTGAGTTTGATGTGAAAGCATTTATAAAGTTCTGTAATGACTCAGTATAACATTATTCTAAGTATAGAAAAAAATTAACAAACAGATTCCATGTTTCTGTCTGCTCAATGGTAAGTCACAGATGAAGTCAAAATCTGATAAAATGCACAGCTGGGTGCATTATTGATGTCCTTACCAAAATTTGACATCTTTTTTGACCTGTTACTGTACAGACCCATGGCAACATCAAATCTATTTGTCTTACACGATAAAGGAGCAACATTGCCTTTGCATCTGTCCTCCAGTGGATCATATTATTAAGTAAGAACCACTCAAAATACATTTTTAATTCCATCAGCTTATGATATAAAGTATACTAAATCACTAACAGGCATACAAGGGTTTATCAGATTTGCAAAGCAGTGACAAAAGAATAAAGATGAAAGTTTGTAACACTGCCACTGGATATCTTACACTCATAAGACTTATATCACTTTTTAGTATAGAGATACTGATGAAATACCAGGATTTCTCCTTTTACTAAAAAATCATATTTTCACCGCGTGCAGTGAAGATACTATTTTTATCTTTCACATGTGAGGATATTGGTGTGGCCATGGTTACCAACATAATTACCCAACTGCTGTTTCAAAAATGAATAAAAAAAGTTGTCTTTTATGTGGAAATTTCATCAGTATCTATATAATAAACAGAACATTACATGGCCGCTTGGGGATATGAGTTTCTCTCACGAGTGAGCGCAGCGAACAAGTGAGAGATACTTTCAGCACGAGAAGATAAAATTTGTATCCCCGCGCGGCCATGTAATATCCTCTANAATCTTCTCCAAACCTTACACTATTGTGAGATGAAGTTTTATTTAACCTACTATATAACATGCTGTACTCCATTCCGGCTCATCAAAGCTCAAACATGTTTTAGCCCTTTACTCTCTAACATCAGTATGCATTTTCTCCATACTATTCTCTATACATTTTTAAGTTGCTGACAAGGAGAATTTGTCTATTAATCAAGAACTTCTTTTGTTAATGATCATTTCCTTTATTCTCATGACCTTGATATGAGACTCGGGGGTTATATTGTAAGGAGAAAATTGAAGCTAGTCACTTTAGGGTTCAAAGGGTGAAAGCTGTTAATTCTTTTGGACAGTCCAACATTTCTTTCTTATAGAAGCTGCTCAAACTGATGTTTATTGCCTTCAAATGTGGCACATCATAAATACGAGTTAGTGATAACTTGAATCTTACAGAAAATTTAGTTTTTCTGTTCTCTGATTCTGATTTTCATTTGGTTAAATCCTGTTTATCAAAACATGTTTTGCTGGTGAGGATGGAGTATTAGTTTTCTCCAGATGCTGTGTTTTGCCTTTTCACTCTTAAGGTTGATACTCAATCAAACAATATCCCAAGTTGATATCTTCCTGCTTTTTATCACTTCTCTACCAGAAAATATATTGATATTGTAAGAAGAAATTACCTATTTATCCATTCAGAGTGTATGAAAACTGCAATAGTCCACAAGGAGGCAGCGTGGCCGAGTGGTTAGGGTGCTGAACTTGTAATCCGGTGTCCCGGGTTCAAGTCTTTCACCCTGCCACTCACTGGATTTGTTCTCAGTTGCCCCTGGTTCAACTCCTCGGCTGCACTCTGTAAATAGCTCACTGGTCTGCCTCCTGCTAGTGGGGATTTTTAAGCACTAAGTTAGTTTACATTGTGGCTGAAAAGCCCCTTAGGGGGAGCTTCAATTTACGTATTTATTTATTTATTTATTTATTTTAGGAAATTCTAGTGCAGCCCATCATGCCACAAGGATGAGAAGGCGGAGGAGGGGGGGGGTAAGATTGGAACTAGCAAGTTAAGTGATACCCTCCCTCTCCCCCACCCCCCCCAAAAAAAATGGTTTTTTTATCCTTTTCTTTATTTCTTTGAAATGCCAAAGCAGGGGTACTGCCAGCTTTCAACTTTTTGGAAGCTTGTTCCTTGAATTAAGAAAGTTCAATTTTCGTTTCAACATTTGCAAGGGTCACATTATAAGAGTCAAGTGGGTGGGAAAATTATGTCGGCTGGCTTCGCCATCTTAAAGTGCAGTTGGTAATTCTCTTGGAACCTGTTGCAACTACGCCCCTTTGAATTTTTGTACTGCACGCTGAAGTGATCTGGGTACTAGATTCCAAATGATGATGGTGCTTATATGACGTACTATGTGAATCAAAGATGGCGGTCCTACCCACTTGTAAGCGTCTTCTATACACCTCATCGTTTACTTCTCAGCTGAGAAAAATACACAGTATTTTACCTACAACTTTTATGGGAAGATGGAACTCATCGAGGTAGTATGGTGAAATTAATTCATTCCTTCAATGATTGTATGATCTCAGGGCGACCTTCTACTTCACCGTGCGACTCTGAAGCTGAAAAAACCCAAGGTGGTCCAAGATATCGCGTTAGGAGATTGACGACGTGGATTATAGGGTCAAAGTTCAAGCCCTAGCGGGTCATTATGTTGTATTCTTTGGCAAAAATATTTTACTCTCACACTTAAAGAGTACTATGACTGTGCATCATATGAAATGCTGTGGGCCTTTGGCCTGTACTGAGAAAAGGAATAAAACTGATCTGAATGATATAATTTTGTATGGATCATATCATTATTGCGAGCTAAAACCTATTCGTTTTTATGGCAGCTCTGTAGGACCAAAGATATACACCAGGACTGGAGATACAGGTAATTGAAGATACACCAAAATAATTGCCGTAATTTTCCCATAGAAAATCGGAACTCATAGGTAGAGCATCTTGCACCAGAGCATGTCACAGCATACTTTTAATCAGAGGTGAAATGCAAGGCCGGGGACAATGTACTGAGTCCACCATGCTGTCATTTATTTACTGAGTCCACCATGCTGTCATTTATTTGCTCACCAAGTATGATGTGGGCATCATAAACCCTGTTTGGCCATGTTTATAATCTGTTCTTAGAAAAACTGGCTAGGTCGTGGAAGATGGTTAGACCTCACCTGTGATCAGGCATTCTTTTTATTGGAATAATAACACCTGATTACAGGTTAGCTGCAACCCAGTAATAAACACACTGGAGTGTAGATGGAGAGGTCCTGGATTTGAACCCTGGTTTGTCCTCTACCTTTTCTTGGTAATTCACTCTTACAGGTTCATTTGTCACCCAGGACCATTGAGGTGGGGGTGGGGACACACTTAACCTGTAGGTACTTAAGAGTGACTAGCATTTAATTTCTCCTAACCATATTGCTGCTGAGTCAAACTTCGAGATCTTGAGAATAATGGAAATGGTCACCATCAAAAGAAACTCTTGGTTGTTAAACAAATTCTTCTTGTCAGTACAAAAGGAAACATACAGAGAACGCTATTGAGAATATGCATACTGATGTCAAGCCCGTAAAAATGTGTCACAAGGTTTCTAAATTTTCAAAATTTTACAAGAAAGGATGCTTTTAAAACCCTCAACAGGAATAGTCCTTTTTACAGTTGTGGGCTTGGTGGCCAAGCCTTTGAACAGGAGTGAGGCTAAGGGTGACCCTGTTGTGATAGAGACCTGAATCTAGTTAGCATGATAACAAAGAAATTTGCATTTGAAAAGCAGCAACATCTCTATCATAACAAGGTCACCCTTAGCCTCACTCCTGTTCAAAGGCTTGGCCACCAAGCCCATTACTGTAAAAAGGACTTATATTGGCCTCAATACCATTACTATAAACCATGATTAGTGCAAACTTGGGCTTCCTTATCACAAAATTAATTCACATAGGTCTGTAAATTTTTAATGACACCTGACAAAATGCTTAAGACATTGTGTGTTGGGCTAGCGCATCATCCTAGAGACTTATCCTTTAAGTATTTTTTTTAATAGGCATGTTGATTTTATTAGGATATACAAGTACATATGGTGGAGAACGTCGTGCAAAAACTGACCAACTGTTTGAGGCATTAGGAGAAAATGATGAATTAAATTCTTTCATTGGGTAATATATTTGAACACTGGGCCAGGCTGTTCTAAACACGGTTAACCTAACCTGGGATTTGTATAAATTTTTTAATTAGTTTCACAGCTCTGTTGAGTGATTTTTCTTTTTGTACTTTTTCACGTTAGTTTGAAGTCATATTGAGATAAAACCCAACAAAGCCTTAGTTCTTATACACACTCCTCTACATGACAAATTAAAGCCAAAGGTAACTTTTAATCCTAGATTCACATGAACCCTTTTGGAACAACCTGGTCCTGTTGTTTAATGTTTACAGATTGCATTTTACACAAAATATTGTTTGAAGCATTATTGGGTGTGCATAAAAGGATAGGTATAATTTCATTGAGGGGATTCCTCCAACATTTCTGCTTTTTGTTATGTTTAATTTTAAAAAATTCAGATTGGACTGCATTTAATTTTTCCTCACTATATCACTTCAGAATCACACATTAAGGTCAAGAGATTAAAGGAAAAATTATTACCAAGGGTTAATGTTCATTGATCATATTTTAGTGTTAATTTGCACACTATAAGTAATAAAATTGATATTACTACAGTAACTATTAATTATAAAGACGTTCTTGGTTGCTAAATAAATTCTCCTTGTCAGCGCCTTAGGAAATATCTTAGGAACTATGTGGAGATTCCATACTGATATTGGGTGTAAAGGGTTAACAGACATCAGTTATAGGCCTTGTAAAGCCTTATAAGCTAATGCAGACTTCCAGTGACCATCCCTTGTTGAAACTCATGAAGGAAATTATAACAGCTAGAAAAGAGGACTATGAATAACAGAATTTCAGTTCAAGGTTGATGTTAACCCTAACATCAGTATGCATATTCTCCATGCTGTTCTCTATACATTTCTTTAGGAGTTGACAAGGAGAATTTGTTTAACAATCAAATACTTCTTGATTTGGTGATCATTTCTCTTATTCTCATAAGTTAATGTGTGATTCAGTGGTGGTATTGTTAGGAGAAATTAGATGCCAGTCACTCCTAGGACTCAGAGGGTTAATAGTGCAGTAAATGGCTTGAACCC